AATAAAGAGTGAAAGCGAGAACGAGTGAGACAGAACGAGAGTGCATGAGGCAGAGAAAGAGAAGCGAGAGACAGGAGAAAGAATGAGAGCAAGAGAGAGAGTGAAGGAGTGACGAGAGCGACGGAGCGAGAAAGAGTGAGAAAGAAATATACATAATATACATATACATAAAGAGATGAAGCAAGAGCCAAGTATGTGAGAGAGAGAGAGAGAGAGAGAGAGAGAGAGAGAGAGAGAGAGCAGGAGAAAGAGGGATAGAGAGAAAAAGAGCAAAGAGAGAAAAGTGAGGGAGAGAGGAGAGTGAGTGAGGGAAAAAGAGAAAAAGAAACAAATATACATTAATTAAGAGATTAAACATCTCTCTCTATATAATTGACTATCAGAGACCCATAATGCATTCACTGTATATTTTAGCATACATGCGATGAACACTACAAATTTCAACCTATACTTTAATGCAGTTGGCTTAATAAAGTAGTAGAAGACGCTGTAAAAGTTTGGAGCGAGACGCCACAGACGCGTCTCCTTAGAGCAGGAACACACAGAGGGTGCAGAACGCAAGTTTTATATACAAGTGTAAGTCAATGCCAATTTTACTAACAAAAACAACGAAAAAAAAATTACATTAGTGAATCAGCAACACATAATTGGCATTAAGTAGCTTCACAGACAGATTTCTACTTCTGGAGGCACAATATGAATAAAAGTAAGACAACTAGTCAGGTAGTTAATGTGTTTTGCTTGCTCACCTTACAGTTCTACCTTAGTGATGCTGATGTTACAGTTCTTCAAGCTTTACGTCCTCCGATCATCAAAATCATTGCATCCGTGAAGCACAGCAGCTAATCATAATCTGTATCTCTATCTTTGATGGTTCACCCTCATTCATTTTCACTGCTTTCATTTTCTACTATCGCAAACATATATGAAGGAATAATCTTGGCAACTACAGTAAATATAAACTCATGTAAATGTCCATCTACAGGGCTGCATGCTTATATTTTTAGGTGACAGCAGCTCCCAAAGGAAAAATGTCCTTCTTAACCCCTTAAAAAGCCAGGCCTATGACGTACGAAAGCTTATTATTCAGTAATGACACAGACTGTAATGCAAACTAGCAGAGTTATTCTTAGGTTACAGAAGTGTGTAGTAAAACTTCAGGCCTGTCAACAAGCCCTGGCCTTAGTTTATCTGTTATCCACCTTAGCAGGCAGCTTGGCTCTTTTCTGTCTAAGTAGCAAAACAAACACTTTTATTACAGGAAACTTGTTAACCATGACAAACTGCTGTGTAGCATGCTGGTGAATTTGTGACAAATAAACCATTGGAAAATCAACCATTAAAATACTTTGCTGACAGCTCCTGTATACGACTCCATGTTAATCGATTACACATCTTAAGTACAGCTGGTATTTTGTAAAATGTAGAACAGTTCATAGGGTACGCGTTTTTCTTTTTTGTCCATGTGATGTGTACGTTGTTTTTTTATAAAGCTTCAAAAAGTGCTCCCAAACATAGTGCCTGAAAGCTTTTTGGTTGCACTGTGCACGCTCATTGATCAGTTCACTATGTAGCAAACGCAAATACAGTGAATTGTGAATGAGATAACAAGTGAACCATTCCGAATGCAGCTGCTGGGGGGGGCAAGACAAAAAGGGAGAAAGAGAAAAAAGGGAGACAAAGTGAAGAGGCAAGAGAGAGAGAGACAGTGAGGGAGAGAGGACACTGAGCGCAGGCAAGACAGAAAGGACGGGAGAGAGAGACTCACTTTGCAGGGTAAATTTAATCCTTAACAATCCTCTCAGATTCTCTCTTTGTTCCTGCTTTAAGTTTAATTCTCTCATCCTTCTCATTTGTGTGACCTGAGAGACAACTGATTCCTCACAGTTCTACCCCACGTTATGGAAAAACTACGCAGTCTCACTTTCTGGCCTACAGCAGCTTCTCAATCTATATTTTGTACATCTAGGACTGGGTACTTCTCTAATTTGTTCAATATCAATGTATATTCTACAAATGTCAGCTGGCTCAGAAATTTAATTCCCCTAGTTTGTATAACCAAGTTATCAAATATATTAAAATTTTATATAAGTTGTTTTTCAAAAAGGGGCAGCGCAGTGGGCAGCACTGTCGCCTCACAGCAAGAAGGGCCTGGGTTCGATTCCCAGCCGGGTGATCAGGGTCTTTTCTGTGTGGAGTTTGCATATTCTCCCAGTGTCTGCGTGGGTTTTCTCCAGGTATGCCGGTTTCCTCCCACAGACCAAAGACATGCAGTCAGGCAAATTGGACATGATAAATTGCCCTTAGATGGTGTAATTGTGTGAGAGAACGTATATGTCTGTCTGTCTGCTCTGCGATGGACTGGCAACCTTTCCGGGATGTTTCCTGCCTTCCTCCCAATGACTGCTGGGATAGGCTCCAGCTCCCCCCCCTTGACCCAGAAGAATAAGCAGTTTCAGAAAATGTGTGTGTGTGTTTTTCAAGAAGGTAACTGCAGTAAACACCATCTTCTAAGACAATGTTATGTGCCCTAAACAAATGGTTCTCAGTCTGGAGGTGTGAGATGGCAGCCTAAAAGGCCAATTAGGCTTATTTTTTACATACGTTGGAGAATGACTTTCCCTTAACATCCCTCAGGACTAAGATATGGTGTTCCAGGCCAGTGGCACAAGTGACTACATGAAAAAAGAAAGTGAGAAAAGAAAGTCTCTAACTAGCAAGGATGGATGCAGTGTAACACTGCTTAGCCAAGAAGGTAAACTTGCAGCTTACTTCACTACTTTTACAGATCAAGCCAGTGGCATGCAGAAAATGCTATGTTAAAAGGAAAGAGACTAAACTACTTGAAAGGGTTGATTAGCATGTTGGACAACAAATATCCTAGCTAGTGCACTAGCTAATTTAGTTTAGTTTTTATTAAAGTTTTAGCAAGTTACAGATAACATTCCTTTAAAGCTTGCTAAACCTTCTGTTGGATTAGCTATTATACAAAATACACCAATATGATGGGTGTTTCTGATAAAATATCCAATGAGTGCACGTACAAAGTAGGTGTACCTTATTAACTGGCTACTCAGTACAATACAGTAAGTATACAATACTGTAACTGTCAGGGACTACACAGTCAAACAAAAAGTGTAGAAGAAGTGTCCAAATGCAGCCAAAACCCAATGTAGCAGGCTGTTTTCTATGCTAAGCTTCAAAGAGTTGTTGTCTTTGTGTTGCTTTACAGGTGAACTGTGGGCCCAGCTTTTAAATATTAATGAATTAGATTCATTAGATTGATCTAATTAAAACCCAAACTGCACATAGCTGTTGTGGTTATATCAATATTCTCTTTGATATGGCTATTAGACGTGCTCTGATCTGCATTAGCTTAGCGAGCTAACACTCCCACTCTAATCACACACACATGCATGCACATACACGCAGCTTTGATCCTGAGGATGTTAATACACTAGTATGGTCATTAACAAGAGGCTACAAAGACACGCACACCCACACCTTCAGAGCTTCAAACCAAGGTGAGCTGGAGTTCTACCTGAAAAAAGAAGGCCAAGCAGTATTAAAGACTTTGACAAAACAGTAGGTACCAGTCTTCGCCACTAATATTGTAATCCTTTGTTTCTGTCAGTTATTCATTTTTTCAAATAATTTAAATCTTACCAGATAAGGTGTTACTATTTTGGTAGGGACAAAAGCTTGACCACACAGGCATTTGGACCAGTGATCTAAAACTGAGTATTAATGCCTCATTATATACTTTAAAATACTTAACTTCAAATGCATTTAGAACAGTATCTACTTTATATTTCCACAGTATCTAATAATATTCAAGGAGTCTTGGCTCCACTCAGTATTTCTTCCTCATGCTCTTGGCAAGCGTTTCTGACCTTGGCTGCCCCAGTAAGGGTCTGGACGTGGATTTCTGTAAAGCTGCTTTGTGACAAAGTGTACTGGACAAACTGTGAGTTTTTTCACCTCTTCTGAAGGGGGGGGGGACTTGATATAATGTAAAAAACATTGATACAATGTTTATATTCGAGTCTAACCAATATTTATGTTGGCCAATGTTATCTGCTGACATAGACCCCTGGTTTTATCGCTGATAATTACTGACATTTTGGACACAGCATAGCCAAGATTCAAATTTGCTGTCTCTAGTAAATAAGGCAAAACTGTTGTCCCACTAGTGAACCTATTGTGAGTCACCTTCTGTGTAACTGGACAGCAACATAGGATATGCTGGCAAATGTAAACACAAAGAAACATCCTGGTAAAATAACAAACCATGTAAAATGTATCCAGACTTCACGTTCAGCATGTTCAGGATAAGCCTAACATAACACAAACAACCTTTTCTTTAGAGTAAATGAACAGAAACCAGAGCAGCAAAGAATTCTTTAAACATGCTGAATGCTACAAAATTTATATTGAAGTGTATTATTTGAAGCTGTGAGTGACAATAGAGAAATGATAGTTATATCTGTCAGTATTTCAATAAAATTATAAATATAAAATGATATTTGCCACTATTATTGGTTATCAGAATTGTCAGCACCATAAAATCGGTATCTGTGACAAAATGTTCATGTTGGTCAGAGACTAGTTTGTATGTTTCAAGTTATTTGCTGACTAAATTATTGAACACAGTGTTTTATGAGACTACATTGCTGATGTTGGCACTGAGCCCTATCATATTTTAGGGCTACAGTACCTAACTAGGCTAACTTTCTAGCTAATACTAGCTAACACTAAAGGCTCTCAAGGACACTGTATGGGTGTGTTATCTTGTCCTGACAAATTCAATTATGTTCAGCAGCCATAATTGTTTAATTTAAAGTGTTAATTGAATGTTTGGTAATTTTAAAGACCTGTAATTTAATGAACATACTTGCAGGCCACTGTACTACACAAACAAAACTGAATCAAACTAAATGTTGAGTTAATTTTACAAGTTTAGCCAAAAGCTGTCAATGATGTCTACAGAACACACTTACCGAGGCCCAGCCTGATGTCGTTGTTCCCAAAATCCAGCGAGTACTTGACGACATGGTAGTTGTTCCAGACGTACAGCAGGTTGTCCCGCGGGTTGTAGTCCACAGCTGCAATATACTGGTATGAGTTGGGGAAGGGGATGTTGATGTGCGTCTCACGGCTCTTCTCCGTGCTGTACATGTAATCAATTTTGTTCCCAGATGCCTCGTTGTCGTCATCTTCGTAGACACTTTTGACCACGTAGAGGACACCACAGATCATGAAAGCGTTGGAGGCTGAACGCTTGTCATACGTTGTGTACCATGACCCTTCGATGCGGAGGGTGTAGGGGTTTAGCTGGCTGACCACAATTCGACCATTGTTCTGCTCAGTGGCATAGATGACCCACAGACCATTTTCGTCCACCGCCAGGTCAATGTCGGATTTCCCTCCCCAACGGTAGGGTGAGGTGTCATGGTAATTTGCGTTGGCGATAATGGCCTCTCCACTCTTGATGCGTGTTCGCAGGTCGAACTTAACAATGTTTCGAGTTCGTTCCTTGTTAAAGAAGAGTGCACCATCGTATACCACAAAACCCGTACCGTCTACCCGGTGGGGTAGCTTGTAGGTGGTGGTGGGACGGCCCGCTATGAAGTCCTCTTTAGACGAGTATTCAGTCAGCGTGTCCGTGCGGTACGGGGTCCAGGGCATGTAGTAGATCTTGTTGGATGACTGCAATGGGTCCTTGCACCATGATCCCGACTGGTGGTCCGATTCGAACAGATGCTCGCTCTGGTACACACCTTTCAGGATGCCTGGACAGAGGAAGACTGGGAACAAGACATGGGGGAACAGAAAGAGCTCTGAAAATAAGGCACGCTACTGGTCCAAAGTTCAGACTCACCAGTCAAAAAATTGGAATTGATGTTTTCAAAAATATAAAATTAGTCTGCAGATATATTTATAAAATAATGCAATAGCGCTTGTCCTGCAAACTTCACAGATTTCAAACAATATGTAGGACGTTAGGAAGATGGGTCCATATTATGGAATTTGATGTAAATAGATAAAAGTTTGATGTTGTATGTAAAAGTTGTTAAAGTTTCAAAATGTAATGTTCACCTCCAGTGCATACATACATATGGAAACTAAGACAAAAAAAGTTCTCAATCTACTGTTTTTGTGATGTTATAAAAACAAGACACATTTACATATATCCTCCTATTCAGCCTACAGCAGTTTAGCCCTGTTCATTTCAGGAGTGTTTCAGCCTGAGCCACCTTTTGAAAAAGGCAAAATACAAGACAGTCATTCAGAACACTAAAGCAGCTCATTTATTTGTAAGAGATAAAGAGAGGAGGGAAAACAAATGTAAACAAAACCACACAAATATTAAAAGCAAACCTAAAAAGAAACAAGTCAAATGTAGACTAGGGTTCCTTTAACAGAAATTTTAGATGTGTCCAAAATGATAAAAAGATATTAATGATGATTCAGTTAACTGAGAAATTTCAACATAAAAATAATATCCAGAATGCCTCATTTTAAAAGTGGTGATCAAAAAATGAGACAGATAAATTGATCAAAAATGATGGTAAATTCTATAATGTTCCCAAAATAAAATACTGAAAATTAAACATCTACCATTCATACGTTATCATACATAAAATCATAAAAATTAGTGGTGACCTTGCAGTATGCCTTCATGTGATTCCAAATTTTTGAACAACGGGGAAATAAACACATTTTCCCAGAACTAGAAACTATTTTACCAATAATATCAGAGAGAAAGCAATGGGAAGTAAACGCCAAGAGAGAATGAGTTATAAGTTTAATCATACCTGATGACTAACGCCTCTATATATGGCTCATGACTTCTGTAACATTTTGGCAAATTTTGACCTGACTGTGGGTGGGTTTGTGTGTCACTGGGTGGATTTAACCCTTAGAAAATTTTGCCTTTTTATTCCTGGTACATTAAAAGTGAAGACAAGGATCAGCATCAGCTTTTAAGCTTTATGCTAATCAGGCCTGACTGGTTCAAGAGGCTAACCGCTAATGGCTATTAATGCTAAAAAATAAATGCTATTCTGACAAATGAAGTGGCTAACCTCCAATTAGATGGCAATAGAGGTCCAGGGCAGGCCATAAAAACTAAAAGAGTTTGGTCATCCTTTACTGAAGGGCAGATTTCATAAGACTACATATGACCTACATAAGCGCTTCATGAAAACTGACAAATACCTACATAAACATTTATAAACACTTATTCCAGGCACCATATGTCATACAGGTTGCATTTGCCGAATTTTGCTGTCAAACTGACGTAACAATATACTTTCTGGGGTGAAATGGCATATTATAATATTTTGTAGCAATAAAATGATGAAATGTTCAAAATCATGAAAATCTGCTCTATAACAAATATATAGTGAAGGCTTTAGCACTGACAGTTATGTATGTTGACAGTAAGTTTCTTTTAACCATTTATAAGTTTTTATAAATCCTTATGAGTTATTCTCAAGAACATACAAATACTGGGACCCAGCTTTGAAGAATTAAAATTACTAAAATGTTTTCTTTTTGCAGATATACATAAGTAAATAAATCTGAATGATTTAACTGATAATTAATAGATTGTCAAACTGTCACTACCGCAACACTGTAAGATGCGAAGATAAATTTGTAAATAATATATTTTTTATGTTTCCCTTCCATAATTTGTATACTGTTGTCAGACTAAGTGTTTTAAAGCCAATCATTAAAACACATAAATTTTACAAAATATAGTATTTTGCAGTTTTATCTCATTACCACAACAGCCATTAAGGCCACTGTGGTTTGACAGCCATTGAGGTTTTTTTTTACTTGTGCTACACAACAATTGGTTGTTTTGCTTCACTTTCTCACTGTTTATAAGGAAAACATCAAAGTAAAGGGATTAAACAGATAAAATATTACAAACTATAATGATACATATCGAGAATGAGAAAAAGATATGAGGACACATTGCATTAATGAGAAGTGGGGTGAAAAAGAATGCCAAAAAACTTTGAAACTGAAAATGTTTTGCTCTACCATTTACTGTAGAGCTCCAATTAATCTACTTAATTATTATATATATTGTTCATCTGAATGATTATAACACTCAAATATGTATGGACATGTTTTGAGGTTGTTTTGAGAGAGTGACCTTTATGCAAATTGCACAACACTGTAATGACAGACATTATAAATCTGTCCAGATACTACAGAGCATCATTTTGTATTGGTCAGTTTTGTTCAATTTTCCAATTATTGCGAATTTGGTGACATACATCACATCTTTAGCATTTTATTACTCTCAACTACAAAAGTTGTCATAACGTGCTGTCACTTCACCCAAGAAAGCATCATGACAAGCTAATGTCAGAAAATAATATTACATGACATACATGTTTAAACGAATGGGACACTCCGGAGCAGCCGCACATGAGCCTACAGTCACCATGCTCAATGCCAAGTGTCAGCTGGAAGGGTATAAAGCCACCCAGCGTTGGGTTTAGTTAGAGTTAGAGCGGCGTTTATGGTCTAGAATCAATCATCCAACATTAGTACCAGACCTTACTAATGCTTGTGCGGCTAAATGCAATCAAATCCTTACAGCAATGTTCCAACATTGAGTGTAAAGCCTTCAAAGGAGAGTAGGGACTGGTTATGCAGTAAAAGGGGACAAACATCTTACTAATACTCTTGATTTCAGAGGGAACACCATATGAGCAGGTGTTTACAGACTTTTGGACATAAAGTGTAGGTGTTATGTCAACTTGACATCAAAAACAGCATTTATGGCAGACAGTAGCCGCATTAAGTGTTCATGTAGGCTTATGTCAGTAGTCATGAAGGGATTACGTAGGTGTTGTGTAACACTGTCCTACAGTAAAGTGTTACTGAAACATGTAACACTCTTAAACCTTGAGAAGAAACGCTAAGATATTTTACTAGTAAAGGCCAGAAGGGTCAGCTCAGTATGTTTAGACAAGAGTAGCACTTGATTTACGTAAACAAACTGAGGGAGGGTTGTGGCGGCATCTCTGCCGCAATTCATTTCTAATAAATTTATGTCCTCTGTGTGTGTATGTGTGTGTTTGGGTGATTGTGCGCTTGAGCCAGACATATTTCCCACACTGACTTCTCCTGGACTTTGATTTACGGCTGTATTCCGGGAAACCGTGCACACATAGACACACACTCTGAGAAAAACAGAGGACGAAAAAGACACACACACACACACACAAATGGTCACGTGATTGTATGGAATGCATGTCATGGCAACTGTCCATTCCCACAATTCCGTTCCCAGAGTGAGGGCCATCCTCAGGGGAAGTGAGGCTGGCATTTGCACTTGCACTATTAATGCATGCTTCCTTTTATTGTTCGTTTGTTTTCCTCTGTTGCATCTTAATGCAGAGACCGTAATGCAGGCCTTTGATAAACTATTAGAGGAAGATATAACTCAATTTTTATTTCAAATGGAAAGGTGAATTCTGCTACAAGTGAACAAGGTCATGGTCAAGTCTGTCAACAGGAAAGACATTACATTTGTTTTGTGTGCTGATGTAGTCTGAAACGCCTTACAGCAGTCTGTTCCACAATGTAATGACTTCATAGATTTATGGATCATTCTACAAAATTGGTTTAATGTCAAAGAGCTGAAAGCACATGTTAGACTTTTAGACTTTAAACTAAAATCCTTTTGCTCTGAATGACTCTATACTATGTAAAAGTATGTTTAATTCTAATATTACAATGTTCTATTATAATAATGAATGAACATTCATTTCATCAGTAAAACAATCATAACACTACCAAGCCTTTACCAAATGTTTCAGTAGTAACTGTTCTGGTAGAGATAACTTCAGGTAATTTTGAGCAGAACTCAATAATGGCAGTACCTGACTGGCAAACACAGCTTTGAACAGCTGTACACACATAAAATCATAATATTTTTCATTAAAACACAAAAAGTTTACTGAATTGCAGAAAATCTGTGTTTTGGAAGTGTCAATTCTTGAGATGACAATACTGATTTTCAGACTTTAGGACACATTTACTTCAAAACAATGGGATGTAACTGCTCACTATGTGGTCATAAGGGGCAGGAATGCAGTTTCATTTCCTGCTCTAAAATGGAGGGGTGTGGCTAAAAGAAGGATCTTTCTATGGACTAAAACTCTTCGTGTTTTGAAAATGACATTAAAACATGGGACAGCATTTTCATTTAAAAATTAAACTAATGATAAATCTAACTCATCTTTGCTTTAAAAGAAATTAAAAAGATCATTACAAATATTTTTTTTTACTGTGGGACTACAATTTGAATTAATTCAGCAGAATGATCCATACATGAGAACTCATTCTGTAACATTTAGAGATGGTCCAACAAACTGATCCCATTTGTTAGTTTGTTTGTTTTTTCTAAACCACTAAAATTAGCTGTTTTTATTTGAAGCCATTCACTTGCATGGCTTTTACAAAGCACGTTTTAGGCCAAAAGGTTATCGCAAAATTGTTGTAAAACAATGTCTCCGACGTCAGGCAGTGTATTTGTAACCATTTCAACAAAGCTTTCTGTGACGTAGTTTTTAAAGGCATTAAACTATTAAGACGTCTGGTTCCCATCACCAACACTGTGAACAATTCTGACTTGGGAAATTTCTCTAGAACTGAGCATTTCACACCAAACCTCTCTGAATGACTGTTTACATGCAAAAATATTTGAAAAATTCTTCTTTTAAGATGGCCATTTACAGGCATGCTCAAACTGTGCAAGCACTCTACCCTACAGGAAGAATTACACAGCTAACAACAAACAAGAAAGATCATTTACTGGGCAAATGTGTGCAAATTTAGACTATGTAAAATAAAGGAATTACTTTTAATTCTAGAATTAATCTGTAATTCTAGTATAAAAATTACCTAGCTACTCTTTCTAATGTTAATGTTAGGCCACATGTTATCACAGTTATTATCACATTACTTCGCTGTGTTGCTCCACAAGCAACTCTGTGACATCTCAGGCTAAATTTACAGTCATAAATTAAAGTGCAGGAAAACTCAGCACAGAAAATGTTACAGAATCAGACTGGATGTGTTTTTCTTTGATATCAAGCTTCTTCTGTTGGTATCAGCTCAATAATGAGAATTGAATCTAATAGTTTTCTAGTGTACCTAGTGTTCTCTACCCTAAATGGGTTCAGCATGTTAAAAATAGTCTTTTTTTTCTTGTCGACATACTTTAATCCTTCCTAATACAGAAATAGGGAGGCCACACTTTGAAGCACTAATACAAACCACCTCTGGTTTAGACTTCACGCCAATACATATGATTACCGCTCACCATGCACTACTGATCATGTGCTACATTAGCTCATTATTAGGTAAATGCTACTAGCTGCCAATCATACACTCCTTCCCTCTGATTGGCTGGCCTCATTCCAGGTTCATTTGTGGGGAATTACAATGGAAAGCATCAATTTCACACTCTGATTTGATGTGCTACACTGAAATGTTTGTTCAAAACAAGGTTTGCTGCAATATGTGATAACTGTATTATGGGCATGGGGGCATAGAGAATGTAAAAAGAGAACTGAGAGGGCATGGGACTGGAAAGAATGAAAGAATGAAACTAGCCAGAGAGTAGAAAACCAGAGTGAAATAGAGGGTTAATTCAGTGAGAATACTGTTGATGCTAGATCAGGTTTCTTTTCCTCACTCCTAATATAAACCATTATGGGCTACTGATCCCCAATCAGTCCTTTAGTATCAGGTAACGCAGAAACAGGCAGATGGTGAATTATGCACTTAAACTGCATTAAAGTAATGGACCTACCTCTCTGCTCCACTTCTGCGTCCACATCCACAAGGAGTGAGCGAGCGGGTGAGCGAGAGAGAGAGAGAGAGAGAGAGAGAAAGAGAGAGAGAGAGAGCAAACCATAGATTAATGATGCAACAGCAAATCAATTCCATATGTATGTAATGTGCATCATATCTTATCATGATCTCATTAAATGGCTAAACCTCCTCTTCATTTGTTTTCCACATATTCTATTAACTACACAATCGTAATTTCTGAAAAAGTAATATGCTGTAGCCAAGCTTCATGAGCCCATTAAATCAATAAAAGAATGAACCAATGCATTTAAAATAACGAAGAAAAGGGAAAAGTCATGATTTCATGATTCTTTTATACGACTTGGCAACATTCTATGGGTCACAGTTTAATAACTTCAATCCCTCTGAAAAGGAATTCATCTCAGTTTTATATGCAAGTTTTAGATCTTGGTAATCATTTAACAAACCAATTCAGTAAAAACAGCATGAGACTGGAAAAGTACAGGATCAATATACAATTAAGCTTTTCCATATACTTCTTTTCACATCATACATACTCACGAACAAAAATTTTACCCATTTTGAAGGACTCATTTCACTCATTTTACTCTTTTTTCCAATTTAATGTAAAAAATAAAAACAAAAAGCAATGATTTTTAAATCTGCTCTGACATATACTTGGAACAAAAACAGTACAAAGACAAGATATGCAATGTTTTATTCTATCAACTTCATTATTTCTTGTAAACCATCATTCATTCTGAAACTGATGCTTGCAACATGTTCCAAAAAAATTAAAACATGGACAATTTAAGACTAGCAGCACTGTGCAATCTTCCAAAAACTTAAAATCTTCAGCAGGTATTTCAGGTTTTGGATCGAGGAGGCAACCTTTCAGATTGTTTAGGGACATAATGAATGTGTTCTCTGGGCAAAAAGAGAAAAGGACCATCCAGATTGTTACCAAGTAAAGTTGTAAAGTGTAAAGTTCAAAACGTCAGGGCCTGTCATGGTATAGGGGAATATTAGTAGATAGCTTACACATCTGTGAAGGCACTATTAATGTTGAACACATTTTGAGCAACATTTTCCGCCTTCTAGATGACGTCTTTTTCAGGGACGCCAATGCTTATTTCAACAGCTCCAAGCCACATTCTGCTCGTATTACAATGGCATGGTTGTGTAATCAGAGTGCGGGTGCTAGACTTCCATTACTATTATTAAGCTCAAAATCAGATAACGAAGACCTGTATAACAGAAGAATGGCAAAAAATGCATATTTTGAAATGGGATCAGTTGGCGTCCCCAAACAAACTTAAGTCCCCAAACAACTTAACTCAAATGAACTGCTATTAAAAGAAAAGATGTTGTAACACAGTGGCAAACATGCTCCTGACACAACTTCTTCGAAATACGTTGAAGGTATCAAATTTGGAATGAGCATATTTAAAAAATAATAATAATAATAATAATGAAGTTCATAAGGTAAAACATCAAATATTGTGTTTTTGTACTTTTTTCAATTCAGGCAGAGCTTAAACAGAATTCACTGATTACTGCTTTCTGTTCTATTAGCATTTCACATACTGTACCAACTTTTTTTGGAATTGGGTTTGTAGTTCCTTGTGCTCTTTGAAAGAAAACTGAGGAGTTAATCTGCGGAGAGCTCTCTACTGCAGACCACACGTTTGAATTTTAAGCTTGCTTACACTAAAAGACCAGATACAGTCAGAATGTCCAGCCAAGCATGTCACTACACAGCAAGAGAAAAAAGCAATGTTTAATGCAGAAGCCTTGTATTTCACTTTGAAAGTAGCTTTTGTTTACATGTGTGTGCTGCAAAGATAATGCTAATTTCCACTAGCCTGGTAATAGAGATTTGCCCTTTATGCTAGCATCAAGCTAACAGAAGTACATTTTTTATAGCAGCTCTCTGGATTAAATGCAGTCATTTTAAAATTTGCAGCAGACATTTAAGTAACAGTCTTTACTTTGGATGTAACAGTTTGGATGTTGACTCCTTCAGTAAAGATTCAAACCAGAGACATTATAAATGAGGGCATAGGTCACTGGTTGGAAAATGAATGGAAAAGCTCGTAATGCTCAACATGGCATCTGTTTACAGGGAAAGTCCTGCACTTCAATGAAAAGAGCCAATTGACTTTCTGGTAAAGCTGCAAGCAGGAAAATCTGCACAAGCACAGTAGGCAGAACAACCTGAAAAAAAAAAAACATGTTTTTTGTGTGTTATTTGAGGTAAATGCTACAAACTATGTATGAGATTTTTGTCAGTTTATCATTGATTTCAAATATGCTTTTGAAACAGTAATTTGGTCTTCAGTTTAGAGTTTTTCAGTCTCTCTTCATTCAAACAGAGAAGAGCCTGGTGTTGTATGAGTGGAGATTACTGCCTCAGCGCTTGCCAAGATGGCCACTGAGTGGACAGACTTTCCTGTAAGGACTTTGTCTAAACTTAAAACTTGGAGCCTGTTAGCTTAGCTATATGTCCAGCTTACTCTAGTGAGGACAGAATGTAGTCCAATTAGTCCACAGAGAGCCTGTTAGCATTAATAAAAAAAACAGTCTGCTGAACCAGTTGCTAGCACAGAAGTTCAATGTTTGTGATATGTGACATTACATCTCTGTTTTTCACAGTCTTGTCCATCAGAGGTGTTGACAGAGGTGACAGTGAAAATACAAAGGCTTACCAAGTGGCGTGTTTGTTCAAGCAAGGAGCAGGAGGTTTACTCGATATGAAACGGGATCAAGCAGCAAAACCTAACAGCCTGTAGAATCACATGCTTTTTGCTAATACATCAAAGGCAAATACACCAAAATTGCAGAATCTTATATTATACACATATTTCATGATTTCTCGGATGGTAAATATGATGACAAGCTGTGGCAAACGGTGAGTATCAGAGCTAGGCCTTCACTTCAGGTCATAAATGTCAAAGCCTGGTCAAAAAACAAGGAAAAAACACTGATAATGCTAGTTTCTGCTAGCGCTTCATGGGATTCTCCTAAGCTAACAGTGACTCACATGTACGAATGATGCAGAAACATAACAAAACAAAAATGGTCATGTGTTTTTTTTGGACAGTGATTACATATTTTACTCTGTATGTTTTAGTTGTACAGTATCGCTTTCATTAAGGAGCCTTAAGAGTTTTCATACCGTCCACGCGTTGGTATTTTTGCTAGGATGCCACATGCAACAAGTGGCATCCTAGCATTTACTAGACAAAAACAGTAAAGAAATGCAGTGTTTATGCCATTATATACAATCTAGAATAATAAACAAAACAACAAATGTAGTTTTAACTCTGACATTGTGGCAAAAATTCCTGGTACAGGTTAATGTTGTGAAACCACATGTATTGCCTCCTGTTCGTACATACATAACATGGGGAGAAAGCTAGCAAAAGTATTGTAGAGCCGGTCCAAGTTACCATGCACACTGCATCGTATCTGCTGTGAAATGGGCTTTAGAGTGATGTCTTTTCTCATCAAATCGATCCCACCCATTGTAAATTAAAATTTAGTGTATTCCACTGTCAGTTCTTAATTATGGTGGTAGTTAATCTGACACATTAGGACTTCATACCATCTCCAGAAACCTATGGGCTTAATCTATGGGAGAGCCTGCTGATTTTAACCTTTTTAACCCTTTTGTTCCCAACAAAAAGTTAATGATGAAATAAACTTATTAAAACACTAATTGCAGAGTTTAAATAAAAGAAGCACAATGATTACATTTAAACATAAAAATTGATTAAAAATTCCGGACATGCATTTTAAATTTCACAAAAGTCAATAGGCTTTCTCTGAAGGTCTACAAGGCCCTGAGGGTTTCCTTTCTTTCACTGCCAGGCAATGACACTTAACGTGAACTGGCAATGAAAATGCAGTTTTGATTGTCTCTGTTGAAGTGTTACAATGTCTTAATGTGTTAACAAAATACTTTAAGGCTATTTATCAGAGCTGAACTCTGATGTGTGTGAGTGAGAGAGAAAGTGCAATTCACCTTCTCACTATGAAATATGCATGAGGATGGAACTGTTAATCACTCAATAAATAAGACCCTTGCAATGGTGTGTGTGTGTGTGTACGTGTGTGTGCAATTGCAACATATCCGATTTACAAGCAATTACTACCCAGACCACCCTCACTCCCCCTACACACACACACACACACACACTTTGTCAAATTTCAGGCAACCAATTATAATCATTTGCTGTTTGTTGATGCTGAAATTGATTCACTTAAACAGTCTGTGTTTTTGATTAAGTGTTAACAGATTTATCTTTCCTTGAATTTACAGTATTGGATTTAACTTCAGAGTAAGAAAAATAGACAAGATAATCACAATAAGACAAAATCTTGAAGAATAACTAAGAATTAACTTACAATCAAATAAGAAAAAAGTGTTAAATGTTTGTATGCAAAAGTAGACACTAGTTACTCTTACAAATCAAACTGTCCATTCACTATAGAGTTAAAACTAGGGCTGTAAAACAATTCAAATAATTAGTCACAATTAATCACATCACTTTTGTGTAGATAATCTTGAATAATCACATTTGTCATATTTGCTTATTAGAGCCTAGATTTTTTTCCATTTGAAAAGCAGTATTTTTTGTTATAGCTACATTTTATGGTCAAAAGCATCTGGACATCCCTCATTATTATTGAGTTCAGGTGTTTTTAAGTCACACTCACTGCAGTAAACGATAAAAGTTAGGTGGAGGATATATAATGGTATGGGGCTGTTTTTCAGGGTTTGGGCTAGACCCCTTAGTTCTAGTGAATCGCAATGTTACATGTTAATTCTACAAGCTACATGTTAATGTCACTGTTAACTGGACAAAATTAGCTTAGACTAAATGTATTTTTTGACATTCAAAAATTCAATAACATTATTTTCATTGTGAGAACATAAAATGTGAAAATCATGTGATAGATTCCATAGAGTGAACACAGTTTCCAGTTTTCATCACTAATGTACAGAGA